TGTTAAAGCAAAAGCTATATGTCTTTGAATGTACAATTAGCACATACACTTTCAGTGCATTATACTTTACTTATCATGAGATGGTTATAATAATACACTGATGCAGACAACTATCATTTAAACCAGGAACTCAATGATCCCGCGAACAGAGCTGAATTGTGTAGTTTGTGCAGTAGATCTGACCAACATGCATGAGCTTAATCTTAAAAATCTTATCTCGATTAGGCTGTAGACAAACGTATTCTTTACACACCTAATTATAAATGAGTCAGTTTTCTTTCACTCCCAGTCAAAAACCGTCATTATTTGTACAAAGAGTTTTAATACGAATCTAACATGACACTGAAAGGAATTTTCAGTGATGAAGCAATATCTGTTACCAAGTTATGCTATTAATTAGGTGCTTTGGTCAGAACAAAGCACTGTAACCTCAACCACAGACACATATGCCGAAAGCATCACTGCAGTCTTTATCTCACAGTAATGTGTTCCTTTCCTATTTGCTATCTTGTTTTGAGTATTTTCACTGATATTTTTCATTCGTCTCTTGTCATAAGCCTAATCAGACTTTTGGTTTTGATTGCAAACACTAATTTAATATCACCCAATCTTCTATATCTTCCTATTCTAACTTTTAACAAAAAGCTGTGCATTACTTTTTTCTTCTTTTCTTTTCTTTCCTTTTTTCCCTACATGATTATTCTTGGATCAAAGAAATAGGTGCTCTGACCTTTGGCCTCTTTGCTGCGGGTCACTTGTAGTGTTGATTAGAGAGATTATAGGGACTCTGCAGCTGCTCTCGGTGCACTCTTGTATACCTATGATCAGATAAATTCTTTTGAAGAAAAAGAACTGTAAAAATGCCACCTCTAAGTAGACACAGCTTGCTGTTCCTTGTCTTGGTTCCTTTTTAAAAGCTGACATGCTAAATGGACAAAGAAGAAGATGATGTCAGGATGATGTGTATTTATATAAACATCCAAATAAAGCAGCTGTACTATTTCGTCATTTGATTCCTTGCCCAGATGCCAAATCAGCTCAAGAATCACCTCCTCAGGGATCAAATAAATAAAATTATTATATTAATCTTTTTTTCCCCCAGATTAATTCCTGGAATAAAGTGAATGCAATGGGTATTAACCAGAACATTTAAAGGCTGCTCTTCATCATCCAGAGACCTCTGTGAGCTGCTTTGTGTTTTTGCTTTTTGCAGATGACTTACGTATCGCAAAAGCTCAGACTCCACGACAAATCAACCTAGCACCTATTAGTGTAGTATCTTTGAAAAAATGATGGGATGAGCAGCAATTTATTCTTTTGTGACTCTTGAAATTAGCCTCAGGAAAGTGTTTCCAGCCTCACTTCAGTAAAAAAAAAATAAAAATAAAAATCTAACTTTCTTTCATCTTCTGGCCCCAAGAAAGCTCTGCATGTCACTTAGACCACTCACTGTAATGCTGCATGAGTTTCAGACTTCACTCTTCCATCTGCAGCAGCATTAGCACCAAAGCTTTTATCCACAACATCTCCAGGTTCAGCTTTTAGGGCTTATTTCTAAGCTTTTACCAGTTTTTTTGGACACGTTGAACTAAATCTTGAAACCTTCAACCCGGGGAACCAGGCGCCGAAAACCTCAGAGAACGCAAAGAAATAGTGATGTCTAACAAGCCTTTACACGATGTGCCCATGTAGTCTGCTCTCTGGTTTTGCTCTTGTGTAACTCTCAGTTCATTCCTTTACATGCACTATTCACGTGAGCATAACCAAGCAATTATTGAGGCTGATGATTAAATCACAAAATGCATCACAAAGCTTTTTTTGACCTCTTGTGTTCAGGTAGTGGGGGTTACACATGGGTCCTGTTTTTGGTAGTTTCTCTATGTTCCAGGACTCCAGTGCCCAAAGTAAACATGTGTCAGTCTGAAGGTAAACTCTGACAAAGCATGGATTTTGGAAATGAGTAAAAATCACACCCCGGTTGGCCCCACTCTACATTCATTGACTGTGTTTTGCGGCCTCAAATTCAGCCAGTTAATGAGGCTGTTTGCTTTTCTTCCTCACTGTGACCTGCCCTTGTTCAAACACAAACCACATAAGCCTCGCTGGCTCCAGGCTTCATTGTGATCCTCCAGCGTATACATCCAGGTAGGCAGCCTACAGTTAATGGAGTCAGTGTCAAAGCCAGTCTATAGTTAGGTCTAGTCAAAGCCTAAAGTCCACTTTTCCAATCAACGTGGCATTCCTTCAGCGTTCTCCCTCTCTACTTATATATTTCTTTCTCTCCACTCCCCTGGGGGAAATGTCAACATCAATACTACACTGTTTTCTGTGTCCATCCCACTGAGTACAACTTCTGGGGCTTTTGCAGGTGACTAACTCTGCTGCAGTGTTTTAAAGGCAGCTTTTTCAGGAGGGCCAGCTGTGTGGTGCACAGCTGAGATGAGCTGTGCAGAGTGGCTGTTCCTTTATCTCTTGTGTTTATTTCTCTGCGTGCACACTAGAATGACCCAATGCACATTACATCCCCCGCCTTGCAAAATGCTTTAAAAACTAGTCATTTGCTGTAGCACAAATTATAAAATGACACCCCTCAAATGCAAAGGCCATGTATGAATGTAGCAATCTAGCAACTATGAGATGCTGAAATCTGCGTGAAATACAAACTCGCAGTTTATTTAAAGGTGTTTAAAAGAGGGGAAACATGGTTTAGTATCATAAATATGCAGTGAAGAGGAATATGGACAACTTCCCTGCTGAGTCCCCTTTTCAGCCAGATTAGGGCTTAGCCTTCATGACAATGCAATATTTCTGCACTGTTTCTCAGCCTGCAGTCTAGACAGTGTCATTAAAAATTGATAGAAGAAAAGCAGGTTTCCGGTAAACTGACTGACCGCTGGTTTGCTCCCGCTGCTCCTGGCTGTGGGCGCTTGCCTCGGTGTCCACTTTGCGCCGACATTGCCCCTGGCCCTGCACCAGTTGCTCCAGGGGAAGCTCCGAGTCGGGCGTCGGGTAGCATCGCAGACCGGTGGAGCACCTCGGGGCGTACACGCCACACAGCTCGCCCTCTTGCCGGGCGCACACGGGGCAGCACCCGCAGCCCGGTTCGCGCACTATCTCCGCGCATGTCTCGGTGAGCTTTGGGCACAGCGCCTGGCGCTCCGCGGTACAGCCCGGGCAGCGGAACACCATCTCGGCCAGAGAGGCACCGGCCAGAGACACGGAGAGGATCAGCAAGCTGCAGCCCGCGTACAACAGCATCGTTACAGACATGAGGTTTGGGGGAATTATCATGGGGCAGTGGAAGGCAATCACAAGTGTGGGTGTGTGTGTGTGGGGGGGAGAGAAGGAGCAGAAATGTGCACGCGAACAGGTGAAGCCGGGGGGCTGGGAGGTCTGCTGGGTCCTACACATTCCCAGGTTTGCTCTCGGGGCCAAAGAAAACTTGTGTTCATTAGGGGGGAAATAGGAAGATTGTAGGATTTCCTTCACGGGGAAGAGCAGTTGTGACACTTTCTCATTATATTTCTCGATGGCGTGTTTTATTGGAAAGATCAAATCATCATCATTATCTTTAAATGACCTGCACTGCTGCTCCCCAGCTGAACCAGTTACATCAGACCTTTTTTATGGCCGTATCAAGGCAAAATTAGCCTCTTATAGGCGATTACTGGCAAACTATTCACAAATGAAAAACAGGTTTGTTTGTTTTTTACCAAAAGCGATGTGAGGCTTGAAGTTGAGCTCAAAAAAGAGAGAGAAAAAGACAGCTTGCATATTCAAAGACTACTTTACATTAGCCTGTTTGTTTCAATCAGCACCTTCTCCCCTCAACTCCCAAGAATGTATAAACAAACAAACAAACAAACAAAAGGACTATGTGCAGAGTATTCCTTACATGGAAAGACATCCCCACAGTGGCTGACATGTCAATTGACACTCAATTAAAATTTGCCAGCTGCTACCAGGCTATATACCTGTGTACAGTGATGCTACTGTGTGTGTTACACAGCAGTGTTTCCTATTGATTGGCGAGGCCAAGCCTTGAGGTGTCGCGCTCGCCCGCTAAACAAGCGCCATATTAACCCCGTCCAGTGCACCAGACTAATAGGTGTTTATCCAAGGGCCCAGAAATAGAAACGGCATGTGTAACCTTACTCCGCAGATATAAATGCAGATTATTTTGTTTTGTGGGTACCCACTGATTTCATGCTATTTAGCCCCATTCAAGATCGGCATCCCTGGCTCACCTTGGAGGTATGGGGAGGGAGAAAGGGCACATTTGAAGCTGCTTTATATCTCGGGGGTGTGAGTTAGGGGGATGCATAAAAGGCTGTTTGCACATAGAACCTCATATGTCATTTTACAAAAACCATGGATGGAAAAGCAGTGGGGAGAAAGCCGGTAATGTGTCTGGGATGGTCACCAGCTTATAGGCCTAACACGCCACAGTATCTGCCCCTGTGTGCAAAGTGATCCCCACCAAGGTCAGTTACTTAAATTCCTCCCCATGGACTTATTAAAAAAAACACAAACTCTGGATAAATTCTACATTTATAGAGACAAATATGGGATCACTGATGTGCTATGTGCTTCAGTCTGTATACAGAGGGAGTTCTTTATGTAAGAGCCCATCCCGGAAATGGATACAATCACCCCAGGGGGCACTTGAATAATAAATAAATAATAGTTATACAGCAAAACATTATTATTCGAATACATGGGAAAATAATAGGTAAGTAAGGAACAGGTAAATAATAGGTAAGCCTGTTCTAGGCCAATAATAGGTAAGTAAATACTAGATAAGAAAGTACTAGGTAAGTAATACGTAGGTAAATAATATGCCAGCAGTAGCTAAGTAAGTAATAGGTAAGTACGCAATAGGCAAATGTGTTTAAAAAATGTTTCTAATAGAATTTGCAAACAATATAAAGAAATGAAATGATTAGCGCTGATAAACAGCTGGCTAGAATTATGGCCAAAACATTAGAAAAGTCTAACTAAACTCTCACATAAGCCAAAAAGAAAAAAATATGAATTAATGACTGGATTTAGTCAAATCATGAATAAACTGAACAGAGTTGCAGATAAAAATAGTACATGAATTACTGAAAGAGTAAGCCAGTAAACATAGCTGAACAATTCAAACTGTTAGCATAATTTTTGAGAAAAACAGTAATCTGGAAGTAGTTCAGATCACATTGAGATCAGATCAACATGAGAGGTGTTGCTGATGACAAGGCTCGTGAATCTATCGGTGAGGTCATTGCCGATATATTAGATAGGAAATGTATATGCTTCAATAGCACTTAAAGCACATAAATACCTAATTAAAACTAAAAATTCCTAATTTGAATAAGCCAATAGAGTTCCATCTATCTTGAAAAGAATCTCTCATTGTTGATGAATTATTCAAACTCCTATCTAGCCAGTGGAGAGATGAATCACTATCTTACTGATTAATATGATGTATTTAGTTAATTTTACACTGCTAGGCCTCACTGCAAGCCTGTTACTTCACAGTCATCTCTAATTTCAAAATGCATTGTCATTTAAAACAAATAAGAATAAAACCGAGTTTACTAAGGTTATTGGACTCTCCTGGCATCTTATCAGTGAAAACAAGTCCATTTTTTACACTTTGACAATGAATGAGTGCACTGTTTAAAGTCTGGCTTTGATTACTGACTTAAATACGGTTTCCCTTTACTTGGATTACTGATTGGATAAGTAAAAGCAATGAGCAGGGAGTTAGGAAAATAATATATCATCCTGTTAGTGGGGTTAGTGGGAGTTACCAAGGTCACACGAACAGCAGATACGCAGCTGGATTATGACTTCATATTGTAATTAACTGTCAAAACTAGTAGACATGCATGCATGGGTAACCTCTTCCTCCCAGATGAAGGTGATCCACTTCATACATTATGTAAAGGTTCAAAGGTTTGCTGATGCTGACCTCTAGTAGCACTATGACTAAACTGCATGTGGAATGTATTGTACTTCATTTCTGCTGTATGAAATTTAGAAGGGTTACCACCTGGAGGTTTGAAAACATGTTTGATAACATCAGTGTCACTGAATCACGGCCATGAGGCTTTCATTTATTGTCTGCGGTACAGGTTTTTTTTTTTTATTTGGCCAAAGTAAAATTACTAGCATTTGTGCAAATCTCACTTTGGATTCTATTTTTTTTAGGTGAAAAGAAAAATGTAAAATTAAATAAATAAAACTTTGGGACTAAGGGGTTAACTGAATATGCACTCAGGTCTCTTAAGCGGGTAAAACGCACAGCATCTTACTGAATGGAAATGTTTACCAAATTACAGAGCATAAATCCTTACATGGAAATGTTCGCTTCACAAGTCCCAAATGGAAAAATGCTTGTGTGTTTGTGTGTGTGTGCGAGAGAGTATGTTTGTTTGCTGCCTAGCAACAAGTGATGCATGTGCAAATTAGGAAAGTTCCTGCTTTATTTGCTCATGCAAATCATTGTAAAGTATCTGTTATGAAGCCAAAAGTGTTACCCAATAAAACAAAAGGGCTGCTGAAAACTGCTTTCCTGGTTTAGATCAGTTAAGTGTACAGAGGTTAAAGCTTGTCACCTGGTTACATGCTATGTAATCACTGTACATGGACGTGATTGTCTTGTAAACCTTCACAGTATTCTTGATTATATTCAGATTTATATTCTGCTTTCTATTATAGTTGACCTACCTGCTAAAATCAAGCTCATGTTGGTTCACCACAAATTCAATTCAATTTAATCTGGTCTGTTTTGATAGGAGTAGATGCAGTGCAAGCTCCAATGATGCCTCTTGGACACCCATCGAACTCTGTTTTTTATTGGTTGCCATGGCTGGAATCTGATTGGACCAACACCTGCCAGCAGCTGTAAAACCACAGCTACCACAGGGTCTGTGTCTTATTATATTATATGTGTCTTATTATATGGGCTTTTAAAGGGAAGAAGCCAGAAAAAGTCTTTAGTGCATGACCTTTGAAGGGTCCATGTAAGATTTGCAACACTTCTGCCTGACTTCATCTTAACTTTATGTATATATATATATTTTAATTTTATTTGCTTTTGGTTTTCAAGCACAAAGTTAAAACACATATAGTTACTGCTACTTATGCACAGATGCTCATTTTCTATGGTTTTGACATCTGAAAGTTGTATATATCCTCGCTGTTTGCAGTTGTATTTATTTCTATTTAATACAGACCATTATATGGAATCTAGCCTCTTTGCTGCAAGTGCTCCACCCAGTGGCCACAGACGTTTAAATTTCAACTATACATCATGTCGAGAAATGTTTTAGCACATGACAGAACTTTTTATTGATGAAAAAGTAGAAAATCTCTTTTTAAAAAAAGTTCTTATGCATTTCTACACGTCTGTTTCTATTTTTGTGCCTTTTAAGTAGAACGAAAAGAACTGCTTTTATAGGCTTGCTCTGTCTTAATCGTTCTTTCAGTATTTTTTGGCCATAGTTTACATCTTATATATGTATAAAAATATGTATTTTTGAATTATTGTAAGATCATAACAGAGCTATTATACTTTTGTATTTTCTTAAATCAGTTTTATTTTTGTTTCTGTTTTCTTGTTTTTAAAATTCAGATTCAGTCAGTTTCCTGATCGGGTTTGCTCATTTTAGTTTAGTTTTTATTGTTTAAAATTTTTTGTTTAAAAATTGTAATACTATATAGAGGACATATGCTGAAGTCAAGATTCAGGAAAATCTGCATAGGTATTAAAATAAAAAAGCACCACTTTTTGAAGCCAGTACTTTAAGTCTTGCAGACATAAGTATCAGGTCATCAAAGCCTCATCAGGCAAGCTGTAATAACAAACTTTACCAAACTGACAAAGAGGAAAACTAATGATATTTATTTTCTCTAAATAGATTTTTAACGTTTTAGTAAATTTTCACATTTTACAAAAATCATCTCAGTTAATTTTTATTATTTTTAAGGGCAACTTTTTATTTTTATTTCAGTTAACAACAATTTTTGCACATCTAGTTTTAGTTTATGTTTGTTTACTTTTAGTATAATAACCTTGAACTGAACGTTTGACCTTTTGACTGTAGGCAGTGACATTTATATTTATCTTTAATGTGTGCCTTTATTCAAACTGTGAGGATTTTTACTATTATTATGAATAATAATAATATTAAGAAGAAGAAGAAGAAGCAGAAAGAAGAAGAACGATTTAAAAAAAGAAGAAACTTTATTATTAATGGGCGCGTAAGAGTCATACCTTTTGGTATAACGAGGCTACCGTACACGCTTTCAGTTCCGTCATGTGACGGAGGTAAAAAATGTCAACATCACTCTGCGCTTGATTGCCACAATAACAAATGAGCACCATAACGTGGCGTTTCTTTGTGCGCCAAAATTAATATGCTCTACTATAACTAACACCTTGATGTTAGCAATCCGGCTGTCGGCTGTCATTGCACAGGTATGTCGTTTTGCTTACTTATCGGGATACTTTAGCCGAGCTAACTGCTAGCAATAGCAGAGTTTTGGATGCCTATGTCAGTTAGCGTGTCTAAAGCTTTGAACGCTAACTACATTAACACGGAAAAAGTGCTTATTAGCCCGAGGCTGTGGTATAGTTGTCTGTAGTCGTCTTTTGTTTTTATCAAATCCGCTGAAACAACAGCACGAAACGTACTGAACGCGTGCAAGACAAGCTTTTCTGTTTTTAATTTCCGTGAGTTGTGTACTCAGGACTATTTCTTGAATTCTTACAGGATGGCTGCACTTCAGACGGGCCACTCTCCTCTCGTACATAGCTTGGCCACGCTTCTCCGAAATAACGGTATGTGCCAGTGTGACACTGTTCCCTTTCCGTACAAGATCCGTCCAAAAACAGCAGCATGTACAGGATCATGAGGCGGTTAACTCATGTTGACAGGTTCAGGACCATCCAGGTTCGCTCTGTGAGGAAAAATAATAATCTAAGAGCCTTCAACCCTTCCCCCCACCCCAAAAGCTGATTGCGCTTTAAGCTATTTCAACAGACGATGTATGAGATAATAACTGAGCCAGCCTAATCCCCTATTCATTAATAATGTAGGGGTTTTACAGTCTGTTTACAGATAATGTTTTCCTTTTAATTTGTCTGAGGAGTTATTTGAAAGGGGGTGTTATATTATTGAGAGAAATCAACCATCCATCTATTGTCTTCCACTTATCTGATGCTGGGTCACATTCACAGCAGCCATACTTTCGAGTCCCTCCTGGGGGATCCAGAGGCGTTCCCAGATTTAACCATGCACGATAAAGAAATGCTGTTGTTTTAAATGAAAGAAATCTGTCAATAAGCATTGTGTGCTTAAATTGTAAGAAATACATGTGTAAAGTTTCAGAACAAGATTTAGTTGCTTATCGCTGAGACTGTCCTGTAATTATAAAACTAAGTTTTCGTTAATTTATAGAAAATAGGAAATCATTTTCTGTGCTTTTCATTTTCTGTGATTTTCAGTAAAAATGGCATCAAGGTAATTTTTACTATGGGCCCGCTGTAAAAAGAAGTTCCTGGAGCAGATAGTGCTAAATTTAAACAACCTTTTCTGTCATTTAAATGTTTATCTATTACTTAATTTCTGAATGTCCATGTGGGAGGTTTTTATCACTAGAACAAAAACTTATAAACTTATTTAAAAAATTGATAAAAAGTCCAAAATTTATGCCCTCCTTCACATTTTTCGAAACTGTCCAGTGGAGCCTCTGTTGTAACGATTCTGTGCCCGGGCCTTAAGTAATTACCTCACCTCTAAGGCACAGTCCAGGTAAAGGGTGTATTCACTGCCTTACTCTTTTGGTTGTTACCCAGAAGTCATGACCACAGGTGAAGGTTGTGGACGTAGATGGATCAGTAAATCGAAACTGTCTTCACCACAACGGCCTGGTTCAACAGCCGGGTTTCTGCTGACGCCGCGCTAAATCGTCCGTCGAGCTTCCCAACACTCGTGAATGAGATCCCATGATATTTGAACTCACTCGCCTTGAGGCTGCCTCTCTTTCCCAACCCAAATAGAGCATTGCACTGTTTTCCCAGCAGTGAACCGCTTCGTCAGACTCAGAGTCGCTGGCTTTCATGCTCGGCTGCAAACCGCTCCAGTGCATGCTGATGGTCATGCACTGATGAAGCCAACAGAACCACATCATCACCAAACAGCAGGGATGCTATTCTGAGGTTCCTCCTGTCCACAGAACTCTCCAATATGAACTAAATACATGAATGAGAGTGGTGTTAATAGTTCACTGATAATGATTCATTTTCAGAAATGCAAATTATTTAGCCGACATCAGACCACTAACAACAGTATAATACGGTAGTTTGATTATGATTTTTTGTGTGTCTAACACACTCTCAGCCATTTGCCAAGTTTGTGATCACTAAAGCCTTTTTTCCACTGGCACCTACTCTGCACAGTTTCTGCATTTTTCAGTTACAAGTACCATCTCAATGTGGGTGGGGTCGTTACAACAAGGCTGCCCAAACATCTCAAGACCTCAGTAGTATGCGCCACAAACACAACACAGCAAGTGAAGGTTTTGGTGGGAGGCGTGTGTAAACACTTCCCTTGTTACCAGGTTTAAAAAATGGCAGGTTTGAGTCTTGGGAAGGAGTCGCACTCGTGTCTCTTTCAGTGTAGTCGCTGCCTGGCCGATTAGCGGCATGCCGTCCGTTGACGTCACATTTTTGGCTCAGATTGGCTCGCTTAGAACCGGGACCAAAGTGATACTAAAAAGTATGTGGTACCAGCTACTACCACCTAATGGAAAACCTTAAAAACTGAGTCGCGCTGAGTAGAAGTTGGTGAAAAAGAGGCATAGCTACCTAAATTACTGAGCTCCACTGACATCCAACAACAATAATATTCAGGTGGATGCTTCCAAATCTGTAGCACTGCATTGGAGCTACTCATTCATTCTGTAGCTGACTAACTTGCAGAGGTGGGAATCACCATACATCCCACGATACGATATTATCACGATACTTAACGCACGATATGATATTATTGCAATTTTTAAAAATATTTTGCGATATTCAGATTCTGTACATAAAGGTAAACTTTATCAATATTCATTTTATCTAATGTCAAAGTCTCGCACTCAGTCTTTCTCTCATTTCAGTCAGTTTTATTGTTGACAAACTGAACGGTTTGTATTACAGTCTAGTTCAACTGAACTGAATGCAACCATCTGGTACAATTATAGCTATTTATAAAAACTATGCAGCCCATTCAGCAACTGAAGAATTTGACAATAAATTAAAACAAAATATAATTTTACATTAAATAAAAAAAAGTTTTAAACTTAATTAAAATAAAACATGTCTTAAATTAAAATAAGTAAACTGTCATGGTTATTGCTGCCAAAAAAAAAGTTAAACATATTTGGACAGTGAAGGAATGTCAGGGTTCTTGCTCAGAAAAAGGATCAACATGCTCTGAAGTCAGAGTTCCAGTCCACAAAAACCTTTTTTGTAACAAAATATCGATTTCTGCTGTCCCTGTATCGATACATTATTAGCAAACAAAATATCACGATACTACACAGTATCGATTTTTTCCCCCACCCCTACTAACTTGTCACTTGTGAGTCAAATCTGGCTGATTACTTTAAGCATGAAAGCTCGCTTTCACCCTTCAGGTGACATGGTGCTGGACGGCAGCAGCACGCTGACCCTGCCTGCTGCCACCTTGCAGCAGCTCACAAGGCTGTTTGAGCAGTACTTGCTATCCCGGAGCCAGCAACACGGGTTCCTCGCACTGCCCTCCCACCCAGCTGACACCACTTCGCTGCTGCAGCTGCAGTTCCTGTTTGACATCCTGCAGAAGACCGTTTCCCTCAAGGTTGGTTTTAACCCAGAACTTGGTTCTTTCACATTGAGTCCCAAAAAGTTGGCCCTGCCAACTAATTTCTGACTCGCTGTGTGTTTGCAGCTCATCAACCCGCTGGGTGTGAGGCTCAAGTCTGTGTTAAAAATTTTCCCTTTCAAGTCTCTGAAGTGTTTGGAGGTAATGTGTGAATACTTCCTACTTTCACTTCTTGTTGTTTAAGGTCACAGGTATTTTACATTATAACTCGTCTCTGCTTGTTCTTCCTCACCAGCTGAAGAGAATCCCCCCTCACTGTCTTGAGGGCCTCAGAGGAATTTACTCCCAGCTGGAGGTTTTTACCTGCTCAAAAAGCCTCAGTTCCTTGGAGGTACTCCCAGCCGGTAGCATGAGCAGGTTTCATGAGAGGACCAAAAAGCTCAGTGATTTATATGATGTGCATTTTTAGGAGCTGCTCTCTCTGTGTGGAGGTGATCTGAGCTCAGCACTACCGTGGCTTGAACTTCACACCCTGAACTTCAGCTACAACTCCATAGTTTGCCTTGACCAGTCACTGGTGAGACAAGCAAATACACAGATGTGTCATTACTGATTCATAAGCATAAGGTTTCTATCCAACCTCAACTTCTTCAAATCTTACAGAGTTTACTGAATGTCCTGAAATCTTTGGATCTAAGCCATAACAAGATTCAGGAGTGTGCTGAATTCCTAAAGGTTGGATTGCTATCAGCATTTGGTTACATAGAATCTAAGCTTTATTTGTTTATTCTGCAATTTACAGTAATCTTGTTTTACTTTATTTTTGCTTTCGCCCAGGCTCTGACTGAGCTGGAACACTTGAACCTGGGCTACAACTGCCTGCAGAGGGCGCCAACACTCGGTATGAGTGCTAGGGCCAAGCTGGTCACACTCATCCTCAGGAACAACGAACTGGAAACCATCAACGGTAGGAACAACTGTTATCAGTCGCAGGCTTCCCGTACTCTTCTTAAAGCCCAATTTACCTTCTCAGCAAAGAGACCAAATAGTGATGAAGCTGGTAGATGAGGAAGCAGCGTGAAGATATACAAACTTTATTGCCACTGTTTTGTAAGATAGTTTTCTTCATCACACAGAGACATTTTTAATAAGGGAAAAGAACATGAGAATTTAATTACACAACTTAATGTTTGGTCATTTTTTTTCCTTTAAAACCAGTGCTCTTGAACTTGTGCATGAGTTTGAATTCACTTGCATCATTGGCATCTCTCATCAAAACAGGCGTGGAACAGTTGTCTTCTCTCCAGCATTTAGACCTGGCCTACAACATCCTGCTGGAGCATTCCCAGCTGGCTCCTCTCTCCCTGCTGCACTGCCTCAACACAGTAAAGATGCACACATGCACACATTTATCCTTAGATGATCAAATTTACATGACACTTTGTTACTGCTCCCAGTGAGGTCAAGCGATTAGGGCTCATTGTTTTTAAATCTGCTTGTTAGCAGGTTTCTTCAACCATTTTGGATGGATTTGCATGAAAACGTTACAAAAGTGGGGCTGGGCTAAACTGTTGGAATTCATCAGGATCCAGTATTTGTTTTTTGTTTTTGTTTTTTGAAAGAGTCTGTAACATTGCGATACAGAGGAAATATTTTACCTCACATCTCTAGAAAATACTAATGAGGTTGACTTTGAGGTCCCCCAGCTGCCTGAGCTTATAGCGGCATAACTAAACAATGGTTTAAAGGTACAATAGCCATTTTCTGAGTTTATGTTATAGAAAAATAAAGTTGTACTCATCAATATACACAGATTAGTGTGTAATTACATCTTCCAACAAACTGATGTGTTCTTATAAACTTAGATTTAACCCATTAAAAATGCACAGGTGCCGGCACTGGTTTGTGCCACAAACATCTTGAATACAGTGGACGTCACTGTTCTGCCTAATCATATTTTATCTACGTGGTTAGAGACTGGCCACATACATCCCAAAGAAGGAGAGAACTCGTAGCCATTCCCATGCTGTTCAGGCAAATTTGAATTTGTATATGCACCTTCAGACTCTAGATATGAAGGTTCATACTTTGTGTTTTATCGTCTAAGAAGGGGTCCCCTCCACTGACAAACTGAAAACAGGAAGGAAGGAGGCAACACCACCAGTATCTTAATAGAATATCATCCTCTTCTTCCTCACCTCAAGTCCCTGCAGAACTGAAGTCAGGGCCCTAACACAAAAAAACCTGCTTATTTATTCCAGATATTGTTACAGTTACTTAATGGCAACAGATTAGATGCAAAATCCCCCCATTTCTGTACAGCTGATGAAAGCTGGATGAACAATGACAGCTGGTTATAAGCTAATGTTATGCCAGCTAATGTTAGGCTTTAGCCCTGTGACACAGTTTGATTACATTCCCACATTGTATGGCAGTTTATTCACTAAGTTTCACTAACAGCAGCTAACAAAGGCTAACCGAAGCTAACAGCAGCAAAAACACTGACAGAAACGTTCAGGATATCTTGAACAACTCACCTCAGTATCGCGCTAATCAAATAGAAGTAAGCTTCATTGACTCATCGACTTGTATCAGACTCTTTTCACAAAGATTTATAGCCTCACCCACAGTAAATAGGCATGTACATATATTGACAGCTGAGGTAAAGTGTGGACTGACAATCTTTACGATTTGATATCCCTGTGTTGGTCCTACATCATCATCATAACAATAGTGGTCCAGCATTAATGTCGCAGCTGACCAGTGGCATCTGAGCACTTAGCTAACATTAGCCAGGAAGTTAGCTAATGCTAATAAAAGAGTTGAATTCAGTTAACTTCAATCAGCAGTCTACTGACATCTAGTGGTGAGGTTTTACACAAAAAACTTTAAAGTCATGTAATCTAGCCTAAGATTTTCTGCCTCCTTGTCTCAAACTGGGAGGTTTTTTTTTCCATAGGTGAGTAGCTAAGAATGCAAACTCTACTGTCTTTTTTCAGTTGAATCTGGAAGGAAACCCACTGTACTTCCAGAAGACCCACCGCACCTCCACAGTCAGACACCTCTCGCCAAAAGCTGCCAACACCAGAGTGAGTGATAAGAATTGTAACTGAATGTATTATGCATATATATACTTTTAAAAGTTTACCTTACATTTCCAAAGAAGGATGGAAATGTGATGTGAAAGTATTGTTTTTAAGTTCTAGTAGCCTCTGGGTCATCTGTTCTCCAATTTGTCACAAAGTGCAGCTTTGCTATTCACACAAAGGTTTGAGCTGCAGTGTGTTTCTGTGTGAGTGGCTGCAGAAGCTTCCCAGAATTGCCTTTCTTGTTTTCACCCAAAATTTCAGGCATTCCCTTTTTTCTTTCTTTATAGCTCAAACTTGATGGCACCCTACTGTCCTCATCTGAAATATCAGTGAGTCTCACTCTTAACATCACTTCATCATCTCACAGTTTAAAAGCTTGATACTAAAGCAGATTCTCTTCAGAGTGACTCAAAAATTCATGCGATGTAAATTGTTGCTACTTGCTACATTTATTTACTTTGTATTAGGGCTGCTCAATTAATCGAATTTATTTTTTTTTGATCAAGGTCTTTTTATTGAACAAAGAATTGCTTCCAACAACAATTATGGCAATATTAACAAACAGTCCTGCCCCCCCCCATCCAGAACTGTGTAACTAAAACCCAGCCAGAGAGGAAGGAAGAGATAAAATAAAATAAAATAAAATTACAGATACAAAGTAAATAATAAAATAAATGAACAACAGCAAGGGGAAAAAAAAACAACAACAAAAAAACCAAAACAACAAAAAAACCCAAACCCCCCCCCCACTCACACGCACATTAAGCCAGACTTAATCTTTCAAAGTAAGTAAGAAAAGGTTGCCATGTGTCATAAAACCTCTGAACCGAACCTTTTACAGTGTAGCGGATCTTTTCCAGCTGAGTATAGTACATGACATCCTTAACCCATTGCCCATATACAGGTGGAAGTGGCTCTTTCCATTTCAATAATATCATTCTACGGGCCAAAAGAGTGCAGAAGGCCAGAAGATCAGAGTGTGATTTGGAAAGACTAGCATCACAAGGCGCCACCCCAAAAATAGCTATAAACGGGCAGGGTGCAATTGGAACATCAAATATGTTGGACATGGTTTCAAATATGCTTTTCCAAAAGCTACCCAGTTTTGGACATGCCCAGAACATGTGAAATAGGGAAGCAGGCTCTCGTTTGCACCGGTTACATGTGGGGTCAAACCCATCCTTGATTTTGCTCAGTCTAGTTTTAGACCAATGGAGACGGTGAACAACTTTGAACTGAATCACCACATGTTTAAGGCAAATAGATGACGAAGAAATTCTATTGATTATCTTATGCCAAGTCTCATCTGCAATCCGTTGGCCAAGATCACTTCCCCATCGTTCCCTAAGTGATTGCAATGTGGACAGCCTAAAATCACTTAACAGCTCATAAACATCACTTATAACCCGCTTAGCATTTGGTTTAAAATCAAAAATATCATCCAAAAGGGATGGAGGTGGACAGGACGGAAAGCAGTCAGTATTAGAAGCAACAAAATTCCTGAGTTGTAGATACCTGAAAAAGTGTGACTGAGGGATCTTCAACTTGTTCACCAGCTGTTCAAATGAGGAAAAGATATTGTCCGTGAAAAGAGCAGTCATTGATGTTATTCCAAGCTTTGTCCATATGTTAAATACCTTGTCCGTTAAGGATGGGGAGAACATGCAATGTCTATGCGGTGGTGCATTAAGAGAGAGTTCAGTCTGTTTAAAGTGCCGTCTGAGCTGATACCAATTAATCGAATTGTAATCACGATTACGATCTGGGCTTTCAACGATCATTAAAGATGACTGAGCCGATTATTAGCCCCTCCCTCGTGCTTTACTCTCGCGCTGCTCCGTGTGGCAAATCGAGCGCACCTCTCTGCATTTTGAACACGTGTCACAACAATTAAGAGCAGCGGTCTCCAACCTTTTTTGCGCCACGGACCGGTTTATGCCCGACAATATTTTCATGGACCGGCCTTTAAGGTGTCGCGGATAATTACAACAAAATAAAACTAGTACCGGTACCGAAAAAAAGAAAATTTATTCATAACACACGTGAAAAGACCCAGGAAAACAGAGTAAACAATAAAAACGATAACAAAATAACGTTGAAAGCCGATTAAAAACCCTGAAAACTATACATTTCACACCTGAGCCTCAACTCTCGCGGCCCGCTACCGGTCCGAGGCCCGGGGGTTGGGGACCGCTGATTAAGAGGACCCGAGGGAAGCTCGGAAAGCTAAGCAGAAGTTATTTGGAGAGGAGAGTGACTGCCGCTGGTTGAAAACAGAGGTAAAAAAAACTTCAGTGGTGTGGAAACATTATGGGTTCGCGGAGTCAGACGTGGATCAAGTAGACATAGTGTGTAAACTTTGCTACAGTGTCGTAGCTGCACCACAGAGCAACACTGCAAAGTTCACTAAACATAGATGTTTACATTTTTCATTTATTTTTTATATTGCAAACATTTGCACTGTTATCAGTATTTGCACACTATTTTATATTATTTTTTGACAGTCTTTAAAGCCATCATTCAATACATTGTTATTGTTAAATAAATATCGTCAAATAATCGAGATCTCAATTTCAGTGAAAATAATCGTGATTATCATTTTTGCTATAATCGAGCAGCCCTACTTTGTAGCAAGGTTTAATCTACATTTATTTGCACTGTATTTGGAAAAGAAAATGTGGAATTAATACTTAAAATCATTTGTGGTAGTAAAGTTGGAGTACTTTTCTCTGCAGGTTCTGCCAAAACCAGGGCCGCTGATGGTCCAGGTGCAGACTTTGCCTTCAGGTTACACCATGCCTGCAGAACGCAGTTACCAGGAAGCATCTAGTGGGATGGGGGAGCTGAGTGACAGCCTGTCCGTCGGCGAAGCGGTTGTCTCAAACCTTCGCAGAAGGAAAAATAGGGTGGGAGTGATGCTCTTTTGGGTGTTGATATGCTTTTTTTAGTGCTTTTCTCTGATATTTAATGAAAAATTGTCAATTTTTGTTTCAGAGTAAGGTGAAAGTGCGGAGGGCCAGTATATCCGAACCCAGTGATACTGATTATGAGTCCAGACCCTTGTCCTCCACACAGGGTTTGTTGTCAAAACATGTTTGCCGTCTAAAGTTTCAACATAAAGGCAAAAATTATGATTTACCTTGTACTGTAGTAATGGAGTATGCTCTTGTTAAATATTGCTAAAGTATCAAATAACCTTATCATATGCTCAACTAAGAAAAGTCATGCGAAGTCCAAGACTAAAAGTATAGAGGTGGATACGAGCATGAATGTTTTTTTTTTTTTTTGCTGTTCTTTTTCCTCTTCTAGGCATCGTCCTTCAGCACCAGCAGGAGATTGAACGCATGTCCAGCTTCAGGGAACAACTCGGAGAAGACTGGCTAAGATATGAACACCATCTAGATGGAGCTTCACCCTTAACGCTCACCACCACTGTTAACCAGCAAACCTCCTGCTCTCAAACCCTCTGCAACGGCCTCACCACCACCATCGCTACTACCACTACATCTATCCCACAGCAGCAGCCATTGCCGCCGTCTTCCCACAAGGTCCCGGAAGTCCTCCCACCACCTATTCTTTCCTCTGAACCCAGAAATGAGGCCTCTGACGTGGATGCAGACCTGGAAATGGAGTCCACCTTGCAAGGTGGTCAGACCCCTCAGCTGACAGAGTCCACCTTGGATAACAGCATGGTAGATGGACTGGTGATGAGCCAGGGAGTAGTGAGTTCACCTCAGCCAAGTCCAGAGAGCCACAGGTCTGCTAGAGCAGCGAGTGGCGAGACCAATCATGAAGAAGAAGAGGATTTAGGAGGTAGGGAGGTTGAAAACTGAGAAACATTTTAAACAGTATCTAACTCAATATGTGCTCGACTTAACAAAATGCAGTTATTCTGAAGGATAATCAGCACAAAACTCCTCCAGTTATGATCTGCTTTCTCTGACTACTACTTTTCTTTTCTCTTAGTGGACCTTTGTCACCCTCTGCTTGTTGGTGTCTTATCTGACAAAGAGGAGGGGCTTGGTGAAGGTCAGGGGCAGAGGAAGGGAAGAAGGGAGGTGTTCTTGTGCATCAAAAAGGGCTTAGTGCTTGAGATGGACATGCAGTGTGGCCAGGAGAGATGCCGTCTGGAGCTGGATAGCCTGGCTAAGGTGGAAACAACTGAGGCTGCGTGGACCCGAGGGGTATGAAAGGAGATTCTTCATCTCTAACATCTTTACGTCTATAAAGGAAAATATAATGTTTTTATCAACTTGATAAATGACTTTGACTATCTTTCAGGATTTAGAAAATCAGTTTCCAGCTGTAGAACTTTACTTTGACTACATCAGCAAGGACAAACGGAGGAGACGCTACGTCCTGTTAGATGATGACCCTCAGCAAGCACTGCAGGTTAGCTGAAAAACTCTCACACATTTAAATTCGTGCACACAAACTTCTGTTGCCAGGAGTGGTTGTTTGTGCTGTCAATTTTCCCACACATCAATGCGGATGACGTGCAAGGTGCGTACAATGAAGCAGTGTACGTAAATAAGAACACCCACCCACTGACTTCTTGGACATGCTGTAGTTGTCTGGGCATGTTCACAGGCTGTCCTCTGCTCAGTCCATGTTACCTTTGTGTACCTGACGACAATCAACAGCAGTACAATCTAAAACCTGTGTCAGATGAAATGTTAAAAGCAGAAAGCTGTTCAGTTAATATGTAATGTATGTTTAAATACACACATAACTGAATTACGTGTAAAACCAAACGAGCACCTTGAGGTTCTACTTAAGGAAAGAACTAAGAATGACTGCTAGTTTCAGAAATTTGTCAAATGTAGTAGTTTATGGAAACCCATTCTAATATTTTCTCGAGTTCTCCTATCCTGTTAAGACAGGGGTGTCAAACTCAAATACACAGTGGGCCAAAACTCAAAACTGGAACAAAGTCGCGGGCTAACGTTAATATTTATTGAAATATATTTATTCCTCCAGATATAAGAATGAATCTTTTCTCATGGACTCAAAAACGTTTTGCTGAAAAACTGAATATGGAACAAGCAAAGCTTAATACTGAACAATATATATATTAGCTGTATAATACCAGTAGGCCAGCTCTGATAGTAATTTGGTATGGCTTTGCGGGTCAAATGTAATTAGGCTGCGGGCCAGAGTTTGACGCCTATGTGTTAAGACATTTTATATAAATACTTCAGTTTTTAGCTTGCAGTCGCCTGTCAGAGAGAAAAGCAAAGAGAATGCTTGTATATCTCATGGGCTGCAGGCAGAAATGTATTATTACCACCTTTCTCTCCTCCAGAATTATTTCTTATTATTTATTTTGCTGATCAGGTTCTGACTGACATATTGTCTAATAATAAGGTGCAGCCTGTTGTGGAGCATCGCACAAACTTAAGATGTAGCTCTCCATGACAGTCCCAGTTTCTCATGCGGCCTCGTGGGAAAATTGCCTGCCCATGTTTGATATGAGAATCCTCTATTGTAACAGTATATCTGTGACATAAAATAACACAAAGCATTATAGATACCCTTTAATTTTCTATATAATTTTTTTGTGTAGTTACAGGAAAAAGTTAATATTGTCTGGAATGTGTGGAGAATGCTTGTATATCTCTGAACTGCTGTAAAAAATGTATTATTACCACCTTTGACTCCTGCAGAACTGTTTAGTGAGCAGAAATGTCTTGGTTTTCCTGCTTGTTAACAAACTTTTTTTTTTTTTGCTGACCAGGCTCTGACTGACATACTGTCTAATGTGGTGGAGGAAAACCAACGCCGGGTTTCTGAGCTCTGTCACAGCTGCATTCGCCTGCAGTGCCTTCGCTGCAGGTCAGAATTCATTCTTCGGGGAGGGGACGATGAAGAGGAAGCCGGTGAACGAACAACGAAGAGGAGAGGAGCTGTGATGCTATCAGAAGGTGTGCAGGAACAGGACGGGGAGGAGCTGATAGAGGCACAGTGGGCCAGCAAAGGTGAGAGTGAGTTCCTGCAGCGTTCATCGTCAACAGTTGATAAACAGACACAGGAAGAGGCACTCAGTAAAGTGAGCGTTATATGTATATAACACTCCAGGCAGATAAAATCAATATTATTCTTTCTTTAAGTATTTTTGCATGTTTTCTCTTTAAATTGGCATCCATAAAGTTAAAATGTGCAGAGGAAAAACTGTACAAACAGCAAGAAGAGTTTAAGAAAAACCTTTTGATCTGTTTGCACTAGCCAGATGTTTGGAGCTGTTTTGAAATGGAGAAAAATGCACTTAAGGCACAAATCTTTTGTTAAAAAAATACAACAACAAAAAATAGAAAACTGCCAAACCAAGGTGATATCTGGCTTTAGTTTATAGCTGAATCTGTCATCGTCACATGTGAGAGGAGCCCACACACACATGTGCACAGACATGCACACTACAACACTCATTCTGATTCATCCATGAAACTGAGTCATCCCTGATGAATCATGGTCACTCTCACGAACTAAACTATCCTTAAATAGCCAAGTACTAGATGTTTCTAGATGAGGAGATTTTATTTATAAAGCACCTTTTGTATACAAAGAGAGATTAAATGTCTTGCACAGAGAAATAAATCGTTCCAAAAAAAGCACAGACAGGTCTATAAAGAGGTAAAACAATCTTGTGCTCATTTCCAGCTCCATATGTTTTTTCTTGGACTCTCCTAGAGTAGCTTTGCATGATTAACAAAATAACCCTTAGTTCTCTTTGAGCCCTAAGCTTTCTTTTTTTAGCCAGTGCTTTTCAAACTGTGGGTCAAGCAATAGTGGTGGGATACATAGCTACAGCACGTCGTCGGTGGAAGACCAGGGTCAAAATGCACAATAAATTGAATGATAAAAATAAACGGTGAAGAGTTTGCTGCTGCTGTCTTGCTAACCTCAGGTTATTAAAGTTCAGCTGGGCTGGTTCTTTATTATTAATGAAAATGGGTGGTGAGTAAATTATAGGTTTACTTATTTTCACAGGCAAACAGGCACAAAGCACTGTGAACAAAAAGATGCCATTTTGGTCATAATAGCCAATAAAAAGATATAATAAAGGGCAGTTTAAACTAAAATGAGCAGTTTAAACATAAATAAATGATAATAATTCAATAATCCGGTGGTGGGTGTGAAGCTTTACTTTTTGGACTCTGATCTAGGGGATGGCCAAAATGTCTCAGAATCACTGCTTTAAGCCAACTTTCATTTAAATTTCTATACCCTGCAAACAGAAGGCCTGTGAGTCAGGAGGAAACTAAGCCAAAAATGTCCACCATTTTTATCTTGTTTATCAAGATAAAAATGGTGAATAATGCAGTAAGATAATGAATAATGCTATAATAGTAAGAGGCAGATTTTTTTAATGATTAATATATGTGGGTCTGCAGGTTTTGTGCTACCATAAAAACCAAAGCAGAAATGACACAAGGTCACACATTGCGAGTACCAAATTCATTTGATTTCAGAGTACTTGCCAACTATCAGTTTCCCATGATTTCACAAGACAAAATGTTAGTTTTAGACAGCCTCTCTCGAAGCGTCAAACACGTTATCTCGTGGATTCCATAGCCAAGAGTTCCCACTTCAGCAGGATGCAGATAATAGTCATCATTCCAGCAGCCTGCTACCCGCAATCCAACCAAACCTGACATTAAGACCTGCACGGGCTTGTACAGACTGTGTTCAACAAATGTTTGGAGAGTTTTTTTGGAACCATACACCTTTTGTTAGTGTGCTTAGTCTGTGGTTCTGCTGACATTTTGGGCAACAAAAGATTTTTTTCACGTTGCTCGTGTCTGGACGTAGACAGTTGTTTGCCCGTGGGTTACAGAATACACTCCTTGTAGATAAAATATAATCTCCTTTGACCTGAAACATATCCATGCATGTTTTCTGTCACTCTCCTCTGTTGTTTTCAGATTTCTTTTAAACATCCTGTTATTCTTGAGTACAAAACCTAAGTTCAAACAGGTTTATTATACAACCCTTGTCTTTTTGTATCTTGACATGAAAAATATGTAACAACATATCTTGATTAAAAAACAATACATCTTGATTTCCATACAGTTGTTACAGTAACTTTGTTAAACTGGACCTATTTCTATCTCTTGGATATTACAAGAGAAGCTCTGCATGAGTCACAGGTTAGAAAAGTCGTATCTTTTACCGCTTCTTGGTGTTGCTACTCCATTCATCTACTGAATGAAGAAAGGCCTTTTAGTTCCTTTCTCTTCAAGGCCACCCTCCCATTAAGCCTACTCTTTTTCTCAAATTTGCTGCCCCTCGCAAACAGAAGGTTTGAACAGCAGGTTGCCGGGGCTTCTTTAGCCTGTTTTGGAGAGCCTCACCAATAAGCTTATATAGAGGTACAGCCTGTTGTGGAGGGCCTCACCAGTAATCTTTAAAAGAAGTGCAGCCTATTGTGGAGGGGTACACCAAGAAATGTAAGAATAGGTGTGGCCTGTTTTGGAGGCCCACACCATTAATCTTATAAAGATGTGCCGCTACCTGCAACAGTCCCAGTTTCTCATGATCCAGATATACTGACCTCATTATTTGAATATTTTTTTTAGCAACGTTTGATATGAGATTGCATCATTGTAATAGTGTTTTTATGACATAAAATAAGGAAAAACCTTACAGGTCCCCTTTACTATATACTTTTTGTGTGTATTTACAGGAAAAAGTCAGATTTGTCCAGAATGTGGCAGTGACCATGTTGTCCAAGTGGCTGTTCAAACGTCTCCCTACAGCAGTACACCCATCCAGCGTTCATTCAGGACCGACAGTGACGATGACCATCGGGACATAACTGTGAGCATGCAAAGTGCTAATAAGGTATTTCCCATATGTTAAATTATTCACTGTCTTTTGCCATGTGTCCTGCGGTAATTGATTTTCAGAATTGTTAATGTTTTCTTTGTTCTACATCAGGATGATTACACAGATGCTAGTAGCAGCAGCAGTCCCATCCCAGAAGCTGTTACCGCAGCAGAAGAGTCCATGTTTGTCACTGCCCAAGGAAGCTCTTTCTTCATTGGAGATAGTCCAAGTCAGACCAGTCACCTTTCCTGCAACTCAGTGTGCCAAAGTAGAGAGGACCTAGCAGGCAGCTACCACTACACCACTACTGGTGCTACACCACCTCAAGTGCAAGCACAGTCTGCAGAAAGGTCCACCCCTAATGGTGAGTCTGCCCTTTGAAGACAATGCAAGTAATGAGGGTCCAGGTTCATACATTAAATCCGCGTCTATGTCGTTTGAGCTGTTCAGCCAGTAGATTTCAACCCAGGACAGGACTTACTGTGACAGAAAGACAATACTAACCTGACATTTAACTACATACACAAAATGGAAATACACAAGGTCTTAAAATAGGAATTTTAACAAAACATTTAGAACAAATAAAATAAATTCAATACAACAATAATATACATTCAGACTACTAATGAAAGTTGCATGTAAGTAGTAGGTTTTCACTTGAATAGGCTTCAGCAGATTGCATCACCACTAATCTTTTTTAACCATATGGATTTAAATTTAGGAACCAGTTCATGTGTTTTTCTCTTCAGATCAAACTGTCTTAGCCTCCCTTCCTCCTCCTCACTTTCAAACATCATATAAACACAAAAATAACTAAAGCATAAAATTAAATGTTCAGGCCTTTGTTTTCTCTTTGTTTTTTGTTTTCTTTGGCTCATGGCACAATATTTGGATACATCTTACACTGTGACATTTGTATATGCTCACATGTTATTGTTTATTACAGTACCCTAACTACTGGTTTCGGTGTGTACTGTACTTCACAATGGCCATTTGAATTGTGTGGTCTGTAATGGGATGATTAAAGGGAATCATTTATTACACCCACATACAGGTAAAAAAAGAAAAGACAGATTGAGTGACAGAATCACTTTAGGACCACACATGTGGCACACTAATTAAAGTGGCCTTGTGGATTTTGCTGTGTGGGGAAGGTAAGAGGAGCTGAGAATTAGATATAATCAGATACTACAACGAGACGTTCCCTTTAGCCTGACATTCACAGTCATCTAGACCTCCAAAGCGAAGCTGATTGGATAAATTATCTGTCAACAGGGTATCCTGGAAGATTAAATAAGCACTTGGTGTTGTTGTTGTTTTTATGATTAGTTCATTGGGTGCATAGATAAAACTATAGTCATAAAATGTATATATAATGAATTCACATATGTTGTTTTTTTTAAAGATATTCATGGACTTTAAGATGTATTCTTTATTTCTTTATTGTATCACAAACTCATGTGATTTAGGATTTTATAAATGTCTGTTATTTATGTCGGGGGGGGGGGGGGGGCTTTTAGACAGTCTCTGTTTGTGGATGAACAACTTCATTAACTTTGTACTTACTAATATTTAAATGTTTGCTATCACCTGGCCATGGACTACGACCAGGTGGTGGTTTAATGAGAGTCACACCCAAATGTGGAAAGGCTGAGGGTGGCCACAGGCTAAAAGGCTTCTCCGTTTCCTCTTACAATCTTTCCTCTTATAATATTTGTAAATGTGAATGCCGAAGTTCTTATTAATACTTTGGATTTAAGTGGTTTAGCACCCATTAGACTGTTTAATCATTTTGAGTTGAGCATGCTGTTGTTTCTTTTGTCTAGCTGTTAGCTTGTTACCTTTATTACGATAAAGGGCGATTGTGGCTCTAGAGTTCGTCTTGTAATCGGTAGGTTGCCGGTTCGAGCCCCGGCTCCGACAGTCTCGGTCGTTGTGTCCTTGGGCAAGACACTTCACCCGTTACCTACTGGTGGTGGTCAGAGGGCCCGGTGGCGCCAGTGTCCGGCAGCCTCGCCTCTGTCAGTGCGCCCCAGCTGTGGCTACAATGTAGCTTGCCATCACCAGTGTGTGAATGTGTGTGTGAATGGGTGGATGACTGAATGTAGTGTAAAGCGCTTTGGGGTCCATAGGGAAAGCGCTATACAAATACAGGACGTTTACCGTTTACTTTTTGGAGCAACTCTGCAGTGACAAAAGGCAGGAAGACAGAATAACTGTTGTACCCTGGACTGAACTGTTTCCTTATTCTCTTTTTTCTTTTCGTTTTTCTTTTGTTGTGGCAGCGGGCACAATGCACAGCAGATGTTACACTGTGGCTTTTGTATACACTGCTATGAAAAAGTATTTGTCCCCTTCCTTATTTAGCAATTTTTTGGATATTTGTCATGTTTCCGATCATTAAACAAGTTTTAATTCTTGACAGAGATTACCCAAGTAAATAAAAAACCTTAAACTTAGAATTTATTTGATCTGAAACATATAAGCGTCACATGCAAAAAACTAAGAAATCAAAAAGGGGGCAAAGGCTTTTTCACAGCACTGTATCTTAGGCTTGTAGAGCATTTTATAGTCACTATTCCAACACTGTTGTCGTAAAAGAGAAATGAAGAGCTTGGTAATGAAAGCATCACTTCACCTCAAATGTCAACTCTTCTTATCAGTTAACTGCAGGCACAGTGCACATCTTTGGACGGATAAGCGAGCGCTTGTCATAAAGAGTAGTGGTTGAACTCTTTCGAGTCATGCTTTAAACCTTTCGGCTGTTAGCCGGTAGTATAGTTTTAAAAACAATACAGCTAAACATGCACCTTTTAACCGCACCCAAGTGAAATTCTGACATGCATACCCAACATACACATACATACATTTTTACATCTAAAATAACTTTGTTGGCAGCACTGTTTATTGAAGAACAAGCCAAACAGCAGTAAAATATAAGTGGAGTTTTATTGCTTCAAACTCAAATTCTGCACTTCGCGTGGTCATTGTAAAACACATCAGCAGTGGCATGTGGTTTAAACTGTTTACATTGGCTTTACTGCCTTTGCTAAAGACAGATGTAAGTCCTAATTGAAAGTGAGCGCAGACTGAGAAATATTTATGAATATTGTGTGGCACAGAAATCCTCTGAGCTGCTCTGTATCTCTGTGACAGCATCTGACTCCCCCCCCCCCCCCACATCTGGCTGCCATTTTTAGATGAACCACATGGTAAATGTGCAACAAGACAGATTGGAGTCATTGCTGGAAGTGATGGGAGAGGAATGAAAGCCTCAGAGAGGGAAGGCCGAGTCGTAATGATAGCTTTCTGTATCTTTTTTCCTCTGTGTTTTTTCCAATTGTGAGATTGCAGTTGCAGAGCCATGTAATCTGTCCTTCTGAAATGGCAGTTTTGTTCTGGAGAACTCATCCCAAAACACTGACGCACATTGAATATGAGGTTTGTTTGGGGGTTTTTTTTTAGCGACACAGTGCATCCATTGTTCCAGAGCACCTCTTCAACCGGTCTCTAAAGACTCGTCAACCTGTGCGTATGCTTGTGTGTGCATGCACCTCTCCCCATTTAAAAGCAGTTATCTGAAAGTTCAAAGGCTGTTTTAATCAGATCTCTGTTTGCACTCTTCTCAAATCAAAGGCCTCAGCTTTGGTCTCTGCAGATCCGTGCCCTGTTGTTTTTGATCAGCTACAACCATCCATCACAGTTCTAATAACTTCTGTTGCTGTTCTTTGGTGGATTTATTGCTCTTAAATGCCTTTCTGCATGAGGGCTGTTGGCCAGCGCTGCAGTCTGCTACAGTAAACTCTGAATATGGTTTCATAAAAACCAAGAAATACTGTATGCAAGGCTTCCCAGTGTTTCCAGGAAGCTACGCTATAACGATATTAATGTAGAATCATCTGAAAGCATAAATACAAAGCTGATTTTAGTTACTTTGTAACTTATCATGACTTAGTTTTTTTTTTGTCATATATATTTTTTAGATGATTTGGATCTTCTGTCTGAGGATTACGAGGTGGTGGACCATCGGCTCAAGCTTTTCCTGGATGTAGAAGTCTTTGAGGAAGAAGAAGAACTTCATTCTTTCCTTAAGGTTTGTGAGCCTCACACAGAGGGGACAAAGCTTAGAGCTTAAAAACCAAAGAAAAAAATGTATTATTGTATGGTTTCATAATTCACAGTAAAGAGAAGATTGAGAAAATATGTTTTCAGGGTCTTTAAATCTTTACTGGCATTAGTGTAATTCAGGAAACACTATTGTTTCCAGACTCTGTGTTAAAGCACAAGTTTGCCGGCAATGGCAGCCTATGACTGATCGCTCAATTTTGGCAGTGCAGCGTTTTTATATGTCGGTGTTATTGTTTCTTTTGTGACTGTGGTTTTAAAGGAAAAAAAACCCAAAAAACTTTAGATTATCTCCCCAGTGGGGTGAAAAAAATTCCAACTTAATAGCTGGTGACAACTTTAAGACCTATTACCCTTCATCTGCGGTTTCATCTCAGTCAGCCAAGACGAACTCTGACAGTAAATCTCCCAGGATCCCATTGAAGCCCCACTCTTCTTCTTTTTCTTCTTCCTCTTCTTTGGCTCCTTTGTGTAGCTTGTGCACTGCTGTCGTCATTAAATGTTGTTTGAGACTTCTTCGAATCACCAGGCTGTTGCTTGTCTCTATGAGACACTTGTACAAAGAGCAAAAAGGACCAAGCAGCTGGAAACAGGAAGTCACACACCATTCATCTTGGTTATGTTTATTTACCCAGTGACAGGGGCTGCTCCATTTTTCACTTGTTCTCTTACTTCTTGCGTTATATTGGAGGAAATGATACAAGAAAACTTACAGAGCTTGGTTTCATCTGATAATGTGGTTGTTTAATAGTTTATTGTTGACTTTATGGTGCTCATTACAATGTTGTAAAAGACTTTATCAGCACAGGAGAGCTTCTCTGTTCTTCTGCTAAGACAGTCAGTGTTTTCCAGCTTTTTGTCATTTACCCCCTGCTGTTTGCTTGTTTTTCTCTGGACTTTCAGATGTCAGCTGTCAAATTTGGAGAACCTGGGGAGGTTCCCTCGCTGCTGGTTGTCTCAAATCAACGTATTTATTTCCTGGAAATGACATCAGATTTGCAGTAAGTAGAGCAATTTTGTTCACACAAAGCTGATTAAGCCAGTCTTTCCCAAGTAAATCTCTGTTTCCCAGCATAATGGAGTTTTGTAGCATCCTTTACCCACATGTGTTTCACTTCAGCCAGTAGTGATTAGTTTGGTAGCGGTGAAGAGGGGACGAACTGTAGTGACAGAATTGGGGACAAGAGTCTCTAAAGCTCCAGATAAATCACAAAGTTTTTGTTCAAACAAAAAACAACACTACAGAGAAGGCAAACATGAATGACCGTCAGTGCCGTCTTGGAACCCATCAACTACTCTGCTTCTGATGCAAAAAGCATCTTAAAAAGCTAACAAAACATTAAATCATCATCAGATGATTGGCAATCATTTCAAGATTGTATTTCAGTAACTGTAGTCTTACCTTTCCTTCTGCAACCGAAGCTTGCTCCAGTATGATTGGTCAGTAGAGTCAGATCATAAACCAATTTTAATATAATATAAATATAACTTGAGTAAATACAAAATGCACTTTGTAAATGATGATTTCATTTAAGGGAAAAAAGCTATTTAGACCTGGGGGGGAATCAAGAGTTTGCAATAACTGGCACGTCACTGTGGGGGAATTTTGGCCCACTCTTCTTTGCAGAATTGTTTCAATTCAGCCACATTGGACATGCTGTTTAAGGTCAATGCCAAAGCATCTTACGTTCAGGATTTGAATCCAGACTTTGATTAGGCCACCCTAAAATCCTCATTTTGGGATTTAAAAAAAATTTTTTTTTGAGTCATTCAGAGGTGCTTCAGGAACTGAACTGATAGTCATCCTCTTTCAGGATTTTCCTTACTTGAGCAAAGCAGCCCCAGACCGTCACACTACCACCACCATGTTTGACTGGACTGTTGCTATGATGTCCATTTTACGAAATGCTGTTCATTTTATGTCAGATGTAACGGGACTCAGACCTTCCAAAAAGTGCAGCTTTTGTCTCATGAGTCCACAGGATATTTTCCAAAAGTCTTGGGAATCATCAAGATGTTTTTGGTAAATGTGAGACGTTGTCTTTGTGATCTTTTTGGTCAGCAGTGGTTTTCTCCTTGAACTCTCCCATGGATGCCATTTTTACTCAGTATTTGTCTTATTGTTGAATCATGAACTCTGACCTTAACAAGTGAGGCCTGCAGTTCTTTAGATGTTGTTCTGGTTCTTTGGTGACCTCCTGGATGAGTCGTTGATGTGCTGTTGGGGGTTGGTGACTCCTGGTACGGTTCACGCCTGTTCCAAGTTTTCTCCTTTTGTGTATAATGGTTCTCACTCACTGGAGTCTCAAAGCCTTGTAAATGGCTTTGTAAAAACTGAAAGATGTCAGTAACTTTGTTTCTCAGCTCTTTCTTTAGATTGTGGCATCACGTGTTGGTTCTGAAATCATTTCACCTACTTCGCTTAACACACAGGCTCTATTTAAGTGATTTATTGATTCAACAGGTCTGTCAGTAATCGGACCTGAGATTGGGGAGTGAAACTGAACTCAGCTTTCTAAAAATGTGGTGAATCCCACTTTATTCATGGTTTTACAATGCAAGGCAATTACGTTTAACACAGAGCCAGGTAGGTTTGGATAACTTTTCCTTTAATGAATGAAACTGTCAGTTACCAACTGCATTTAGTACTTATTTGGATTATTGTTGTCTAATATTATAATTTGCTTGGTAAGCAGCAATAAATCAGGACGGGTTTGTTTGCTTTCTTACATTTATTGTATCTTGTTTGAACTGTGATGGCAATACTATGAGTTTTGCAGTTTTATTTTAGTACTTTATGTAGACCTTAATGACAAAAACGATCTCAGCACTTTTTCTAGCTTTGTGGTATCTCCAGTGCCTCGGTGATTGATTTACGTTGAATCAAGTGTGAAGACTTTCCCCAAGAGCAGGGGTATGCCGACCATAAAACCGAAACAGATAAAAAGATGATTAAATCAAAGCCACTTAAGGACAAGTTTAAGCAGCGTCCTCAAAGCTGACTTTTCCATGCAACCACGTGGCAGATAACAATTATGTCTTGTGATGGTGGTGAAAAACTCAGCACCCTCTGATTAGGATCTGGTTAATATTGCACAACCTGCCCAGCAGAATAACCTGTTTCTAGGTCACATCTTGAAAACACATTGATCTCGAAGCGTCTGCAGTCCCTGGGCTCTTTTCTGTTTTTCTCCCCTCTGTGAGAAATTTGTTGGCCATAATAGGTTGACTTCCCTCACACATCAGCTTTTCCTCTGATGCTCTTCCAAGGTGACGTCAAAAGTTGCTATGTACTGCATGTTGCAGGTGCTGAATTCTCTTGTTCTTGGCACTGTCTCGGAAACCAGACTGTTAATATGGATTTGACCGGGTGTCCTAATCCCTGAAAAATGAGGCATTACATAAGTTACTGATGTGATTTGCACTAACAAAACTCTGACTTTTACAAACGGATTACAAGTGTCAGACATCACGTAAACTGTTTAATCGAGGTCAAGCGAGGCAGGACATTTTCTTTACCTCCTGATGCCTCATGTTGTTTCCTCCCAGCAGAGGCCAGCTCACCAATTGGCTGCAGAAAAGGGACAGCTACCCAATCATGGAGCTGAGCTACCTGGAGGTGGGGCTGGGCTCTCAGAGCATCCACATGGAGTTTGAAGATGTGGGCGTGGCCTACACGCTACTCGTGAGGGACAGCGTGCGGTGCAAACGCTTCTTTGGCCGTTTAACAGGTAAAAAAGAAACCCCACAGAATAAAAGGAAACTGTATGGAAGTTTTTATTTTGTTAATATAGTCAGAAAGACAATGTGACTGTCCCGTTCTCGCTGTGTTTACTGGTTACACTGGGTTCAGGATTAACCTCAGGGCACAGTGAGGGAAGATTAAACACAGTTAACCTAATTTTAAAAGTTGGAGGGCTGTGTTACGTCCCTGAGGCAGACATTTGAACAACATGTTCCCTGTCACAGACCCACTCGCCGCCACAAAGTAATACTATACCATATGTGTGCTTTGTGACGCAAATTTCTACCCGTCCCCCTCAGTATTGGGTTTCCACAGACTGAGCACATCACCACACCAACTTGTCTGACTGAGAGGACCAGAGGCTGAGAGGAAAACCTTTTATTATACAGGGACTTCTTCCTGGGCTTTGGAATGTCTGGAGAAATATGGAAAATCTATTTGACAGTTACCAGCCCCTAAACATTTGGAGAAAAACAGAAAAACATTTTGGCATGTGTGGAATAGGATCGACGCTTAGTTTTAGCACATGTAACGTTTTGATATTGAACCCATGCGAACAAAAATTACAATTAAAACAGCACAGAGAGGGATGGTCCCTGATGTTTGTACTAGAGATGGCACGATACCACTTTATGTCCGATACCGATATCATAAATTTGGATATCTGCCGATACCGATATGAATCCGATATAGTGTTTTTTAATCAACAAAACTGTTTTTTAAATATCTTGCTGCATTTTGTATAAGTTCATACTCAAGTTTAAAACAACTACACTAAAGCTATTCTGTTATACCTGTATGCAAAAAAAAAAAATTTCATAGTTCAGCAATACTGATCAATCTAATAAACTTAAACCTACACCATCCTCCCTATTCTGGTATTTTAAAGAGTACTTAGCATAAATATTAAGCAACCTAACTAATAGGGTTCCAACTCCCAGCAACAACAAAAATAAATAAATAAAAAATAGGGACCCACCCCTCACACTCCACCTCATGATGCTTAATCGACGTAATCAACCTTAATTTGATGCAGTGTGAAAAAAAACGCACAGAAATCAATTATTTTTCAAGAAATATTAAATAGATTCAACATCTTTCTTCAACAAAATTGCAGACTGCACAGATGGTACCTTCCCAAAGGAAAAAGTACTATAGCTTACTAGGGTATATATATTAGACTTAATAGTCACTATATACAGTAATGGACTTCTATTCATTTTATATCAAATTAAAACTTTGGGTGTAAGATTCGGATAATTATTTATTAAAAGCTCGACATTTTAAATGAGAATAAGAAAGAAAAGTATGTCTTTGTGCCCCCTTTTCCCTGTTAATGCCCTATCGGCCCCCCTGGCTAAACTTTGCTAGATCCGCCCCTGCACAGTTACCAGCATCAGCTATGTAGAAAAAGATCCTGGTGTAGAAAGTAATATTAAATAAATTCTAACAACAGCTGATCAAGCTTAAACGTGCTGCTGTTGTTCAGCCGCTGGTTTCCTCTTTCTGGTGCAAAGTGGGCCAAAAGCAAACAACAGAGACGGACTCGCGACAGAAAAGCCGATCAGCTGATCATTAAGCAGTTTCATGATTGAAGTAGCAGCAAGAAGAGGCACTCGCTTGTTAAGCTTAACGCAGGAATGCTTTACAAACATTCAGAGATGGACTTACACACTTGCTTTACTTCTCTCGGGGATAACTTTGTCGGAGATGAAATGCCGGGTTGCTAGCGAAGCTCCAAATGCTATCCAGACCACCACGGGTCCCGCATGCCACAGCCGCTCTATCACGTGATGCATACTGCTCCGACGTGCTAACGTTCTGAGGTGAGTTACGGCGTGTTGCAAGTTTTGTGAGGTGCTTTCGTGATATTTAATGGATCGGATTACATTTTTTATTTTTCTCCGATATCCGATCCAGTAATTTAGGTCAGTATCGGACTGATACCGATACGTAATATCGGATCGGTCCATCTCCAGTTTGTACAGATCAAGCCTGATGGATGTGGAAAAAAAAGCACGAGATGTGTTTTGTATATGGACTTTTTAAGGATCTTGCTCAGTTTATTTACTTGTTTTGATTTCTGTTCACGTAGAAGTCTTAACTGAACAACAACCTGGGACAGGATACAGTTAGCATGGCAAAGCTACCTCCTAATTCAGACCAAGCTAATGGCTCAGTCACAAGTAAAAGTAGGACAGCATTCTCCTTACAACTACAAACAAAACCGATGGCTGCCTTTTAATTGTGTTGAATTTTTTCACATTCTGTGACCGATTACCATGTGTGGTGACTAAATGGTTACACAGAGCTGGAGGGTATTCAACACTGACGACCACTTTTGTTAACTGCAATCACTCTCAAAGAGATTGTTCAAGTTCAAATAATTGGTGTGGAGTTTATAAATACAGACAGATTTCCAACATGTTGCAATCAATCTGAATGAGTCTTTGTCAATGAGCACAACTCAACTGGCTGCCAGCTGGTTGACACGGTTATAGGCGCTGCTTTGTTGAAGCTGCAAAGCTGTCCCACCATCTTGAATATAGTGGCCAAGATGGACATCACCGTTCTACATAATCTACCGCATGTCTGTGGCTAGAGACCGGTCAAATATGTGGCACGCGTTTCCTTCTCACCTCAAGCCTCATTTCTTGAACTGAATTCAGGGCTCTAACACATAAACATGCATAAATATGCTCATTGTTAGCCTGCCTAATGTTAGGCTGGAGTGTCTGTCGAGTATCGAGTTTATTCACTAAGTGTCCAAGTCCAATAATGTTAGATCCAAAAAAAAAAGTTTCACTAACAGCAGCTAACATAGGCCTACAGCAGCTGACAGGGGCAAAAACACTGGCATTTACTGACAGAAAAGTCCATGATATCCTCAAGATGTCACCTCAGTATCGCTATCATCAGAGAGAAGTGAGTTTTGCTGACCTATTTACTTATATTGGACTGTATCCTTCAAACATTGCAACATAATTTTGAGGCTACAAGTGTAATTATTTCAGATCATATCAAATCTTTTTACATATTGTTTTAAGAGGAAGGGGTAATCTGTTTTTATAAATGCTCTATTTTTCCTTTTCAAAGGAATGTTTAAAAAGGCAAAAACCTTTAAAAAAATTGACATTTTGCTTGCATCCCTTATAGAAAGGGTCTGAAACAACTGCCAATTATCAAAAGTGGGCAGATTTTCCCTTTTGCAAGTAATTCTCTGAAGGCTTCCTACCACAGTAGTGGGTATATATTTTAGCCAAAATAGTCCTGAATCTCTGCTGAGAGTCGCTACCACAATTTGGTTTCATTTACCAACGCGCTTTTGTAAGAGTTGCATTTAGTGGTTGGTCATTATATTAAAATAATTTATCTTCAATTTTCACTCTGGTTTCATCTTTCAGTAAAAAATACAACAACAAAAAAACAGAAGAAACATTTCAATGTAATGTACTGAAACAAAAAGGCAGTTCATTATCTAAATATGTTTGTCTGACGAATGTTTCCACCCACATATATGAGAGTATTTATGAACTTATTTGATCCTCTCACTGACCAGGATCAAGGAACATTTTAGGCATCCCACTTGCTTCTTTCTTCTCCCTCTTCCTTGAAGTTTTGTCTCTCCACTAACAGCATTTTCTTTTTAAGTCCATAAACCGCTCATTTACTGCGTTGTATTCTTTGTGGGTGAAAATAATTCCAGATTGCTTTCAGCAAGACCAGAATGTCTCCAAAACAAAGCAGACGGAGTAGAGAAAAAAAAACAACAACCCACAAATAAGATCTTTTTGTATCCTTCCAGGTGCTCAGAAGACAAATGAATCCCGATGTTTCTCATTGCTTTAGACACCTACATGTGAATTATACGAAGGCTGTACTTATTTCTGTCCTGAAAACAAAGTGGCTAATATGACAAACTCTCTGATGCCACTGCCAAATTAACCCCGAAAACAGCTGTTGCAATATTTTGTCAGGAGAAATACGGAAAAGCTTAACCATAACAAAGTCTGACTGTTGTCCAAGCTGGCTCCTTTCATGTGGACAAAGTTTTTTCGAAACCACAACTGGAATGACGATGGACTCGCTGCCTGGAAGACAGAGGAAGGATGTGGTTATAACAGGGACAGTTTTCTGGAGCTTAGAGCTTCTTTCTCCAACCTAGTCTGACACAGCTTTATTGAAACAGGAGAGATAACACAAGACCTCTGGAATCTACGGCCCAGTGTTTTTTGGGGTGGTTTTTTTTGGGTGGGGGGGTCTGCCAGGTCTTTTCTCACGCTTGAAGGACTCTATTAATGTTCACTGTTGCAATCAAACCGTGTTGTAGAAGATTTGGTGCGAGTTGTCGGTATCAACAGAGAGAGATGTTGCTTTGGAAACTGGAATTAGAAAATCAAATCTTTACCCATTTCCTGTCCCGAGTGTCTAACGTATCAGACGGTGGTTTGGTATTTGATATCATGTGAAAATGATCAGGGGTGTTGTTGTTGGAAGCAGCCACACAGCAATATTGACACAGAGCAGAGCTCTAGTGAAAGTCTGTTTGTTTCAGATTTGGTTCTTAACACGCTCTGCTTGTCACCTTTACTTACTCCTGATTGCGGTCTTGGATGGCACCTTGCTAAACTGTCCACGTTAACACGTTATTTAATCTCGTTGTTAGTCTTAACGCTCACTGCTTCCCCTCAGACATGCTAAACACTGCCAGGAGTGTGGGGAAACTTTGACCCGGGGCCAGTGCAGATTTTCGTGAAAGCAACTGAGCCATCTGTCAGTTTTGTCCAAAATATTTTGAAACTTTTTTTAAGGAAATTATTAAAATAAATGAATATGAATAAAACTATGCACAGTCTTGAAAAACATCAGACACGTGACACAAAGCGGGGCAAGAACCTTACCTTTTTTATCCAAAGGCAACGGAGTTTGATAAACCACGAGATTTTAAACAATTCGACAATTAGATTTAATGACAAAATATGATTTTTCTTTTCTTATTTCTTTTTTATTTTTTTTAAGAAATGAAAATGGGTTCTCGTGCAAAGTGGTAACCACTAACTTCTGGATAAAAAAAAAAAGGTAGTGGTTACAAATATATGAGAACAAAAAATAAAATGCTGATCTAATTTTGTGGCACTTAATCCTGAGAGGTGAATTATGTGTTTATAAGCACTGATTAGTTCAAAATGATTGTTTAACTTTGAAATTTATCAGGAATGTAAAAACTGTGTGTGTGGCCAATGTCACGACTGGTTTCTGAACCCTAAATCTTTCTTCATGCTTACTGAAATGTCAGTATGAATAAACATTTCATTACATCAAACATTATAGATTGATACACACCTTTTAGAAGCTGGTGTATATTTTTAGAATCATTTTATTAAATGTCAACAATGTTTTTGTTGAAATTAAGGAACCAAACTGTCGATGAACTTTTGGGGATACGGTGTCATTTTGTAACATAGGTGAAAATTAGATAAGACTTTTTTTTTCTGATTTTCACATTTTTAATAAAGGAAAGCATGTTTTGCCCTCATTTTATGTTCCTTCGGCTGTAACTGAGCCTTGTCCTCTTTCTTTCCGTCTCCTCCTCAGTGTCTCTTTAAATCTTTGAAATCTCATCTATTCAAACTTGACCCCAGTTATCATTTCTTCCCTTTGTTGTAGTCACACTCAATGATACGCCACAATTCACAACTGTTGGCGTGACCCGGCAGATTGTGTTCCCAGCATTTTCTCAACCACTGATTCAATGGTGCTGATATTTAACACCTGCACCTTATGACAGTTACCAGAAGAAATTTCGGCTTGGGTTCCACTTTTGTCTTTAGACTTCTTTCCATGAAAGTTTGGGTGTGACATTTCTAGGATAGTACACGTTTACAAGTTTAGAAGTAATATTTGTATCCTTTCACCTGATTGCTTTCTCCTGTTAAATGTTCCTAAACCCCCAAATCTGTCAACTTCATCTAAAATGCCTCAGGGAAGTGAGAACAGAGGAGTGCTACCCTCTCAGCTGATTCAACAAGCTGTAAACCAGCCAGCTGTAAACTGCTGAAATGGTCACATGTCATGTTCAGAAGGAATCTAAGAAATTTTAAGTAAATTTCAGCGGTGAACTAATAGATCTTTGATTGGGAAGGTTGAGGTTTCAGACTCTTAATCTTCATTCAACCTTCATTACATTTTTTGAGTATTGGAACCATTTTTGAATTTTTGGTGGTTGGATATTTCTTAATGTGCTAAATGGAACATGTCAGACAAATGACAAATACACCTCCTGAAACTTAAGATAACCAAATGAAGCAACTACCAGTGCGAACAAAGGATACTGTCAATATTGACCTATCAATAAATTAGAGGATTATCTAGGCAACGGGGGCCTGGATTGTCCATTAATGATAAACTCTGCGATACATCGATGGACACTGAGTGACACGCTTTATATGTGGAAGTTTCATCTCAGAAATTCTGTGGTTTCTTTTGGAATACTAGAGCTCTTCCACCTCTGGAATTATTTTGCAAATGTCACCTAAAATGACCCTAATGCATCATATCCCACAATGAAAATTGACATCTTAAAAATTTCCACAAATATAAACCCAAATCTTAACAGATTACATATTCAGAATGCTGAAAAAACCTCAGTTTGTACTTTTGTTGGTCAGTCACAGAGGGAGCACACAAATGGCCGCCTCTCCCTGACCCTGGTTCTGCCGTAGGTTTCTTCCTGGTAAAGAGGAGTTTCTCCTTCACACTGTCGCAAAGTGCTTCCTCGCAAGGTTCATCTGATTGTTGGGGGTTTTCTCTGTTTTGTAGGGTCTTTACTTCCCAAGATAAAGCACCTTGAGGTGACTGTTGTTGTTTGTTTCTATTTAAATACATTTGAAATGAAGTGAAACTGAATGCTAAAAACAATGAAATGACTGCGGCCACTCTTGATGCTTCTCATGCAATTTTTTTGTAATCTTTGGTGTTTTTTCATGCTTCTCCCATTCATGGTGAACTCCCTTTCATCCGTTCTTTTCATCCTGTTGCCTTCCAACCAATAAGCATGTACCCATGCATAGCATCATCGATACTAAGCTACATGCTTTGGGGTTTTTTTTGGAACACCGCATATAACCACATTTGCGTAGGTTGCATACCCCTCTGCCTAAGCTCTGCATATTCAAATACCTGAACAAATGCAGAACTATTGAAAGGTTTTAACTTTCCCACATAAAGATGATATTTGGCAACCTGCCCCTGTACCCTTAATGACAAGTTTTAACACCTCAGTATATATCAATAAACATGTGGTTTGATGACTGTTGGAATAGCATGTGGACTTATCCAAGGATGGCTGCATAGGCAGAGACCACCCTCACTATCTTCTCAGGCACACCCAGTAATTCTGTTCTATGAGGAGGTCTGAAATACGACAGAAACAACTGTTCATAAAAGAGCTTCAAGGGTTACTCTTAGGGGGCTTTCGGGGGCTAAAGAGTTAAAGGGAGAAGTGCTAAAATGGCTTGTTTCAGGTAGGATGAACTGAGGGAGCTCACCGAGATGCAGCATAAAATAATTAACAGTGAATCATGCAAGCCAACTCTAGTAAAAACCTGGGTGAGAGGGAATATTCACGGGTAATTCTTTGACCACTACTAATTGTTTTCTTGCCGTTTCTTCAGGAGTTGTGCGTGAGATGGCTCACAAATCAGAGAGCAAGCTGAAGTCGATCTCCACCACAAGGCTCACCCCTGAGCACCATCTCTGGTACGCACCCACACTGCATCTGCACGCCTACTTTTGCTGAGGGAGGACCCGCTGGATGCAGTGAGAAAACAGCAGGCGTCTTTGATTTTATTTGCGTAGATGCTGAAAGATGTGGTCTGAATAGTGTTATGCACATTTGTATGTGGTTGGGCCGTGTAGGTTAAAGGGAGTTACGGCAGTAGAAGTTCTAACGCTGCACATTTCTGACACATCTTTAGTTGATTACAATCAGCTTTTTTTAGACTCCATTTTGTAAAATGGCTCCACTAAATTAGCTGGTAAACCACATCTTAATTTGTAACATGTGTTTTGCTCTGCAAGTCCTAGAGCATGCATGTCCCCCGTGTAGTTTGTTAACAGTGCCAGTAGTGTTTCTGCACCTTTATTTGTATGTTTTCCTTTCTCACTCAGAAGATAGAAGCTTTTCCTGGGTGCTCACTGAAAAGGAATGTGGTTTAGCTCATGAAAGTATGATTTCAGGGAAGAAACATGCAAAACAAAAAAAAACCTCCCATAAACCTGCAAAAAAAAAAACACGTGCTGTGAATAATCAAACTTTTCAATCATACACACAAACTGTGTAAGTATATGAGGCAGTTTAGACATCCTGGAAGAAATTTTTTTTTTCCAAGTTAGAGAACATAAATAAATACTTTTTTTTCTCTTTAGCTTAAAAAAATACATTGACAGTAACAGAAACCAAGCCTGTTAAGTGCCTGTTAAGTACATTAGCAAATTCATTCAGGTGCCAACACAATAAGGCCTTAAATCTCCCAATTTGTCATTTTTCCTCCAGGCTTCACAACACAAAATCAAAAAATACAAACAAACCTTCATGTGTTCTGAGGCAGCAAACCACAGTCTCACTTCCAGTGTTTGCACAACACTACTCCTGTCAGCTGTCATTATGTTAATTATCCCCTTTGCTTCAGAGTCACTGTAAACTTTACGCTGGGATGTTGAAGCCCTTCAATCTCACACCTATCAGCCACAAGGCTCCAAACCGCCCTGTTATTTTATACAAATCGGTGTTTATGCCATTGTATCTTTAACTGAAGGAGATTTTTGTTTGTGTTTGTATGTCATGTTAACACTGGACTTTGTCTGATCTGTCAGGCCTTTAGTGTGCGAAGACATCCAGGCAGATGTGGAGGACGGACAGCTGCAGTTCTTCTATGTTCTGGCTTTTCTCCTACAAGGTGACACATCCACTTGTTCATAAGTTGTTTTTTTTTGCTGACTTGAGTTTTTATTACTCTATTTTTCTGTTTGTTTCTTTTTATCTCACAGAGTTTGCTTCCGTTCTAGATTTCTATCAGTTATCACTAGATAACTAGGTACCTTGCTAGTACCTAGTTAGACCCTCCTTTATCTTCAGCGCTGCTTTAACTCATCATGGCATAGATTCAACAAGCTGGAAAATTCCTCAGAGATTTTGGCCCATATTGACATGATAGCTTTAGACAGTTTGATTTGATTTGATTTGATTTTGATATACCTTTATTAGTCCCACAAGGGGAAATTTCATAAGGCTGCCGACCTATTGCACGCAATGGCGGCGCCATCTTACCCTCCGACCATTCATACATGACACAAAACATCACATGGGGAAGACAGGTCAGAGAGGTATAACAATGGAAAAATGCACCACACGAGGAAAGATGAGGAGAAAAAAATAACTCCCCCCAGACTGAGCTCCAACAGGGAGATTAGTTTGAGAACAGAAAATAACACCTCTGCACATAGCACATGAAAAAATCTTAATACAGCAAAGAAACACATGACAAGCAACAGGGGTGGGTAAAGGGGTGAGAGACAGCCGATTTAGCCAGTACATCCCGGCCTGCGTGCGCTGGTCTCCTTGATCCACCGTCAGCATTGAAAGGGAATAAGCGTCGAAGGCGTTTGGAAAGGGAGGGGGGATGAGTGTGTGCATATCAGTGTATATGTATGTGTGTGCGTGTCCAGAGTTCAGCTGAGACAGTGTCCTTCGCCCTGCTAGGCTAAGTAAACAGTCTTCCAGCCAACCCAGGTGGCCTTGCATGGAATGGGAAGGAACAGTCTAAACACAGTCGTTATCAGGGTGTTTTTGATCGGCTCCAGCCTTGCGACCGCAGCTGGCACCGAGAGGGTATCCGCATGAAGTGATGGTGCTTTTTACTTTAGTGCGAACAGGTCATATGAATTTCTAAGCTGCTCTAACAGTCCAACACTGGTCTCTCAATCTCCCGTTGGAGAGCCGTGAGCTTTCTATGATGTTATCCAAACTTACGTTCCGTGATGTTGTCATTCTTTTTGCTCAAAGAGCAGGTCCTGAGAACTCGCGACTGCAATGCACTTCCCCAAGATTTGATCCAATTTGCGCTCAAAGGTGTTATTCGAGCTAGCCCCTCCAGATGTAATCCAGTTTTTCACTCAGAGGTCTTGTTCTGAGTATTCACAGCAGCCGTGCGTTCTCCAAGATCTTCTCCATGCTGCACTCAATGAGCCCATTTTGAGAAACTCACGCCTCGTCCCATCATTTCAATCCCAGCGGGCAGTCTTGTGGGGGTTTGAACAGCCGGTTCCGCTTCCTTAATTCTTCGATAAGCCAGGGCCAAGCCAGCTCCGATCAGCAAGAACCCTGTTATCATGGTTCCGAATAGGTAGATATCTTCAGCAGTCAGGCGCACCTGAGCCCAGATTCTCGTTGAGAAGGGGTGTCAATTGCATTCAGAGACCAGTTGATCAAATCCATAATTCCTCTTTTAGGTTTTAGAGAACAGACTGTGAGAGAGTGTTCCAGGGAACACTCTCTCACTGCCAACACATCCAAAAGGTGCTCGATCGTATTGAGATCTGGTGACTGACCGTTTGAGTAGAGCGAATTCATTGTCATGTTAAAGAAACCAGTTTGAGGTTTCATGGTGTGTTATCCTGCTGGAAGCAGCCATCAGAAGATGGTACACTGTGGTCATAAAGGGATGGACATGGTCAGCAACAATACTCAGGCAGGGTAAGGTGTTTTAACAATCTTCATTTGGTACTAGGTGGTCAAAGTGTACCAAGAAAATATCCTCCACACCACCACGAGCCTGAATAGTCGATACGAGGCAGGACGATTCCGTGCATGCTTACTCCAAATTCTCACCCTACCATTTCAGTATCGCTGTAGAAATCGACACTCATCAAACCAGGCAACATTTTTCCAGTGTTGAATTGACCAATTTTGGTGAGTCTGCGAATTGTTGCCTCAGTTTCCTGTTCTAGCTGATGGCAGGAGACCACACCCATTATGGTCTTCAGGAGCAGGAGACCATAATGGGTGTGGTCTTCTGCTGCTTTAGCCCATCTGCTTCAAGGTATGCTCTTCTGCATACGTTGGTTTCAACAAGTAGTAGTTATTCGAGTTACTATTGCCTTCCTAGCAGCTTGAAACAGTTTGGCTATTCTCCTCTGGCATTAACAAGGCACTTTCACCCACAGAACTGCTGCTCACTAGGCATTTTCTCTGTTTCAGACCATTCTCTGTAAACCTTAGACACGGTTGTATGGGAAAATCCCAGCAGAGCAGAAGTTTCTGAAATACTCAGACCAGCCTGTCTGGCACCAAGAACCAAGACACGTTCAAAGTCACTTAAATCACCTTTTGACCATTCTGCTGAAAAAGGTGATCTGACAGTTCTGCTCAGTTTGAACTGCGGCGGCCGTCTTGACCATTTCTTCATGGTTAAATACACTCAGTTGCTGCCATGTGATTGGCTGATTAGATGTTTGTGTTAATGAGGAGTTGAACAGGTTTATCTAATAAAGTGGCTGGTGAGTGTATCTCTTTATGTTAGTGTTGTTTGTCGTGAGGTTTTTGTATTGAGGTAATTTAGTTTACAAGCTGGAGAAAAAGCTAAATCCTAACTGTTGGTTTTAGCCAGAAGTAAGGAATCTTGGCCCAATTAAATCCCTGACGCTACTTCTGCACCCTCAGAATTACTGCAGGAATAAATGCCAGGATAATGTGCTAAAGGGGAGAATTACAAATGAAATGGCAACAAGGTTTTATTTCCTTGAAGATAAAAGTAGATTATGGCAGGAAGAGCCCCCCACCTCAAACCCCCCCAACCCCCACACCCGTGGGGAGTAGCTGACGTGAGATGCCTATCGACAATCAAACCTGTGCCCTTAAATGAGGCAGACATCTTTTGTTTTTACTGAGCGATGGCAGGTGACTGCTTTGGCGTGAGTTTGGTAGATACTGACCCTGCAGGACTCCTAACTGGCTCTGCTAAAGCAGGCACATTTAAAGCAGGGGTAGCTGCAGGCTGCACAGAGCTGTGTAGGTCTCTGGAATTTCAAGTACTATAATTTTAACATGTCTGGATCTGACTTCTCTCTGTTTTTTTTTTCTTCCTCCACGTGTCCCACAGAAGATGCAGCTTTCTGGCATGAAATGTAACACCATAACTTTTCTTTGTAGTTCAAAAGTACTTTGTAAAGCTTTTAACATCAGTGACCTCTAAAGGCAGCTTATATGACAAGATCAGAGGTTAAAATCTCAAAGCTCAAAACAGTAAAGTTTAAATGTGTTGCTCTTGCTCGAGGGAGAAAATACTGCAGTTCTTTATAGAATGACCTGAGATGACTTAAGATATGATTTAGCTCTGTGTGAATATGTTATAATGGCACTTTTGGAGTTATTTAAAAAACGTGAAACTTTTCTGGCTTTCTTTCAGAGGATATCTGGATGCCGTTGACGGTTCTGGCGACTAGAGAAACCCTCTATCTGCTCAGAGAGGATCACCAGTGGAGGAAAAACAGCCCGTCGGCGAATGAAAACAAAGAACCGTGCAGCGGGAGTGTCACTGTGTTAGAAACTCTGCCAATCAGCTGTGTGAGCTCAGTTCTCCTGTGGCCTGTGGACCAGTGCAGGATGGATATAAAGCTTTACGATGAGGTGCGTGTGATCGCAGAAGTTTAAACAAAGCCCAGAAATGTCATGAGAAAGTCTTATAGTAACTTTATGTGCTTCTGCTTCTTGTCATGAAGACAGCTGCCACTCAAAACTACACAGAAATGAAGAATAAATATATCTTTGGTTTGATTCCAGACAAGCTTCCTTTTTTGTTTCTTTTGCATGCAGCTGATTAAAAACACCGGGGAGATGAGGAATAATTAGGCATGAGAAAATGCAAACACTCTTTGGTAGAAAGCAGTAATGAATGTAATACCGCTCTATTAGTTATGTATCTTGGCAGAAGTTGTAGTTCACAGGAACATGTTCTGGCATACATTTAGTTTTTCCTCATATGAAACTCGCATACAGATTCAGGGAAACAAACGAATGGCTCGTTGGTGTTTTGGCAGATCCTAAACTGTATAATAATAACAGGCTGATAAAGCAACAAATAGGTAACAAAAATGACTTACAAAAACAGTCGCGTATTTGCATATGAAGTATTTCGAGGTTTTAAATTGGCCGTGGCGGTTGGGGATGTTTGTGTCATTCCTTCGTCTTTATTATCAACTACAATTGCAAAGTTAGTATTGATTTAATCTTGTGATCACATGTGTGGGTGTGTGCGTCTGTCTGTTTCGGGTACTTTGGCAGGCCTGTCTGACTGTGGAAAAATTTTGTTGTGTTCCAACAGTGAAATATAAAGTCAGAAAACGTTGTGGGATTTAGAACCGGGGATAAAGTTTTCTCCAAGTTCATACGGGCTGGTCAAAGGCTGAGAATCAAATCTGAAAACAGCTAGGAAAACATAAATGAGATATGGCATTGCCAGACCTTAAGAAATATTTTCATGCTGCACAAATGAGACCTGCAATCTGCGGTTGTGTCAGTGATTATGAGGCAAAGTTGGAAACTCTTACAGCAGTATGTAGAAGCAATGGAAATTAATTTTCATTGGACATGGAGATAAAGTAAAGATATACTTAAACAGGTAGATGTTATCACTCAGTTTACATTAAAGGCAAGGCAAGTTTATTTGTATAGCACAATTCAACAACAAGGTGATTCAAAGTGCTTTACAAAGACATTAGAAACAAAAACAAATAAAAAGCATGATTTAAAATTGATTAAAACAAGCAAACAAACAAAACAGTATATAAAATCAAAACAGATAAAATCAGAACAGTAGATAAAATCAGTAGTTAAATGTAAGTTTTGAAATTTAAGCTTAAAAGTGTGGATTTGGTGCTTTATTCAAATGCAGCTGAGAATAGGTGAGTCTTCAACCTGGATTTAAATAAACTGAGTGTTTCAGCTGATCTGAGGCTTTCTGGGAGTTTGTCCAGATATAAGGAGCATAAAGGCTGAATGCAGCTTCTCTGTGTCCGGTTCTGACTCTGGGAACTGATAAAAGACCGGATCCAGATGACCTGAGGGATCTGGAAGGTTCCCTCAGGTACTTTATGTCAAATTGGGGTTTGACATAAAGTACTGTGCAGAAATCCTGGGCCAACCTTTGTTTCCTTATATTTTGCTTCCAATGAGCTGTAAACTGTCTTGTAATTTGTTAAAGACGTCTATGAAGTAGCAGTTTGTAAGGAAGGGAAATGGGGAGAGAAGTCCGATGTACGCCAAAGTACACAAGAACTAGACCGAACATCAGTGGCAACGGGTCTGATGAAGTGATGGATGCAAATTTTACGCTTTTTGTTCAAATCATCATCAGTATTTCCTGAAGTGGTCTGGAGAGAAGTAAAACAGCGAGTGTCTGCAGGCATCTGTGTAACATGTTGGAGGCTCTGTCATGGTTTGAGCTGCATTGCAGTCAGTGGTGTTGGAGATTTTGTCATGGATTGGCTTCCCCAGAGCCTGGACTTCAACATTATTGAA